GTTGACTATGATGGAGGAAGCAAAGACAAGACAGAGGGAGGATGAATTCTTCAAGAAGGTAATCGATGAGTTTGTCACCAAGCCGAGGTCAGGGTACACCATTGAGAACCAGGCACTGAAGCTTGAAGGAAGATTGTGCATGGCCGACGTCCCAGAGTTAAAAAGAAGAATTTTACAGGAAGCCCATGGTTCTAGATTTGCAGTACATCCAGGGAACACCAAGATGTATCAAGATGTGAAGCAGACTTTTTGGTGGCCAAATATGAAAAGAGAAATAGCCGAGTTTGTATCTCAGTGCTTATATTGCCAACAAGTAAAAGCAGAACACCAGAGACCAGCAGGACTTCTTCAACCTTTGTCAATTCTTGAGTGGAAATAGGAACACATCTCCTTGAATTTTGTGATTGGTTTGCCGAGGGCACAAAAGGGTATGGATTCAATTTGGGTTATAGTTGACAGATTAACTAAGTCAGCACACTTCTTGCCTGTTAAGACTACATTTAATGCTGATCGGCTTGCTTTGTTGTATATGAATGAGATTGTTAGACTTCATGGAGTGCCGATGTCCATTATGTCAGACCGAGATTCGAAGTTTGTTTCTAGATTTTGGCAGAGTCTACAGGGAGCTTTGGGAGCCAAGTTGAGGTTTAGCACAACTTTTCATCTCCAGACCGATGGGCAAATAGAGAGAACAATTCAACCACTTGAAGATATGCTTAGACTATGTGTATTGGACTTCAAGGGAAGTTGGGAAGTGCATTTGCCATTAGTGAAATTTTCTTACAACAACAGTTATCAAGCTAGCATTGGCATGGCGCCGTATGAAGTTTTGTATAGAAGGAAGTGCAGATCGCCGATATGTTGGACTGAGGTAGGAGATAAAGCTTTGATTGGTCCCGAGCTAGTTCAAGTGACAACTAAGAAGATTAAGCTCATTCAACAAAGAATCAAAACCGCTCTGAGTCAACAGAAGAGTTATGCCGAACAGAGAAGAGGGGAGTTAGAATTTGAAGTTAGGGATCATGTATTCCTGAAGATTTCGTCGATGAAAGAAGTTTCAAGATTTGGGAAGAAAGGTAAGTTAGCACCTCATTACATTGGGCCATTCAAAATTCTTGAGAAGGTTAACCCCGTTGCCTACAGGCTTGCTTTGCCACTAGAATTAAGCCAAGTCCACAATGTGTTTCATGTCTCGATGTTGAGGAAGTATATTCGGGACCCACTGCATGTGATTGATTATTCTGAAATCGTGGTTAATGAAGATTTGGGCTACGAGGAGAAGCCAATGAGAATTATTAATAGGCAAGTGAAACAGTTGAGGAACAAGTCGATACCAATGGTGAAGGTTGAATGGAAAGAGTATTATGGCAAGGATGCTACATGGGAAATGGAAGAAGAAATGAAAATCCGACATTCGAAGTTGTTTTTGGGGCAAGGTAACTTAAGTTTGGGGACCAAGCTTCCTTAAGGAGGGTAGGATGTAACAACCCTCACTTTGTCTTAGTCATGTTCACATGCATTTACATGATCCCTGTCTTGATTAAACTTGCATTGCAGACTTTGAATTGTTTTGTCTAAGTGTTGCTTACATGCTTTGTTCCTTGCTTACTGTGTCTTAGGCCGAGGTCATCTTAAGCCCAGGTCACACCTTTGAACATCTTACACCTAGGACCATCTTGGAACCACTTTGATTGACCTCCACCTTCACCCTGGCATATTGGCCGAGATGTTACCATCTAGGCAACCAACATCCTTGATCCTTGCACCTAGTGGTCTTGTTTCTGAACTAGTACGACCTAGACCAAGGTGTGGCACATCTAGGCCGAGGTGTGGCACAGCTGGGCCAAGTGTTATCCTTCCTAGCCGAGATCATTGAGACCTTACTTGCCGAAGCCTATGTCTTTACCTGAGGTCCTTATCTTGTTAGAGTGCCTTTGTCACTTTGCTTGTTGTACACACTTTGTCATGCTTTTGTCTTGTCAGTCAGTCACCTTTTTTAGGAGAACCAACTAGTCGTTGCCACGTGCCCCAGCAGAGGGTTAAGTCAACCAGTAGAGTGAGAAAACATATCATTTGTTATATCTTTGTCCTAGAAGAGAGAGAAGCTCTAGGAAGAGAGGAAGAAGAGTTCTTAGAGTGAGAATAGATTTCCAAGCTTGATCTTCACACCTTGAACCGTTAGATCCGTGTTTTGAGGTTAGATTCTTGATCTACTCTTGTTATTCCTTATGTTGATCCGATCACATTGCATGATCTAGCATGATTCATAAGCCATGAATTGATTTAAAACTTGTTTTAGAAAGAGAAAATGATGTTCTTGTGTTCTTGAAATAAAACCATGTTTTGATCCGAAAGTTTATAACAAGTTCCATGTTTTGTGTTTGTTTTCAAGAAGATTTTCAAGTACGGGTACCTAGGTCCATGCTTTTGAACTCATATCATGAAATCTCAGATTTTGAATAAAGAAGTTATGATTTTAGCATTCATGTTCTTGATGTTCTTCAAAAAGAAACCCAAAATTTTCAGACTTTATTTCCCTGAATGTGGTCATCGGGACCATACCTAGGCCAAGAGGTGTGGGACCTCAGCCACGTCCTAATTGGTACCCAGCATGTTTTCCCGAGATGAGAAACAGTGTTTTAACTCCCAGCACATGTTTTGCTTTGTCTTGACTTAGTTTTGAAAGAAATGCCAAGATTATCTACACTCATGCAAAGCTTGTTTTAGGAATGCATTTCATATCCATCTTTGAGCATCTCTTCTTGTCTTATTGAAATTCATCCAATGGGATTTATTATGTACTTGTAGGCCTTGGATCCTTGCTTGTAATCCCCACACCATAAGAGCTATGTGAGTGGTATTTTTAATAAAGTTATGTTATAAAGTTTTGATAAAGCTTTGCTTGTTTTGGAAAAGTGTTTGTTCAAGTATGAATGATCATCCCTAGTTTTTGTATCATCTTGTTTTGATGACATTCTTGGAAAGTCCTTCGTGCTAGGGGACTATAATGCAACTAGTACCCTTGTTTGAGATATCTCTATTGCCACCGACGGCCTTGTGTGGGTGGGTTTGTCTAATCTATTCCAGGTCGATTATTCCCTTGTTTTGTCAAGAATGTCATCCCTTGTATTACATTGATGCTAGTAAGCATCCCTTGAAGCTTTGAAAGACTTGATAGATGAACTTGGTTCATCCTTTGATTTTGTACAAGCTATGATATGTATTGTTTTGATAAAGATCTCAGATATCATTCATTCAAACCTTTATTAATTATATCATTCACTGAGTATCCAAACTCACCCTCTCCTTATATATATGTAGGTGACGAGCAAGAAGGCGATGATGCCTAGATGTGTTTTGCAAGATGTTTTGGATTCATGTTTTTGACTAGCCTCTTGAAGATTATGCTTGTTAGCTTGTATTACAAGTCCTTTGTATATGTCGGCTTGAGAAGCCTTTTGATCAAGATGTAACATGCACTTTATTTTAATTGTATCCAAGTTGTAGACCATGTTAAGACGTATGTCATCTCATTTAATCTATGCACGGCTCTAATGGACTAATTAGATTTCAATTTATTGCTTCCGCACATGTAAACCCCATATGTATACTTTGATTGTGTGTGAACCTTTGCAAGTTGGCCTTTGGTAATCTCGGATTACTGGCCATCACGGCACCATTCTACTAGGGGCGGAATGGGGTCGTGACAGAATATTAACATGGTGCTAATGAAACACACAACCAAAACCACCATAAATGCCTTCATCATCATGTTCAGTGCCTCCATCTTCATTTCCAACATCATGAGTCTTCCATTAAAGTGCACGCCTTCCTTAACCCATGGCTTCTCATCATCAATCTCATCTCTTCCATAGATGGGAGCAAAACCAATTGGGTTGCACCAAGCCCAGAAATCACAACCTCCCAAACCCGCATTTTCACACACATAGTACAACCTACCTTTCGAAGGCTTTTCGGACTCTACGATTCTAATGGCTGCTTTTTTTCCACAAAAACATTTCTTGCTAATGAACCTCAACATTTGTCCTTCTCCACCGCCCATGCTTGAAGGGGACATTGTTGATGTCTTGCAACTCAAGCATATTGAGGAAAGAGAGAGTATACAAAGCAATCTTCTCGGGTAAGCTTTTATTTCTAACTCTAGGGGCATTTTGGTCTTTTAATTGTGAGGGATCATTATCAGTTCATGCCCAATTGCACATTACTTGCGTGTACTGCATGGCCTGTTAGAATAGATGGAAATGCCAATGGTGCACATCAACCCATTAGCTACAGGGAGTTATATAGTGATATTCGAACATCAGGGGGGTAATCCGCGCCCGCCCCAAACCATGGGGAGGTAAAGTGAAATTTGCCCTTAACTTTTTATGTGTAGGACTTACAAATTCAATGCAAAAGAAAATCCATAAAGACCAAGAGGAAGACAAGTTGAAACATATATCACATATACATATACATATACATATATAGATTTAGATACACAAATACAAGCATACATATGCATAGGTATATATACATTACATATACAATACATTACCTGTAATGACCCCAAAATGCATATAAGAAATCATCTTTATTTCCCTATGAAATGATGTGGTTTAATTTAATTATATCTATTAGAATTGAAGCATTATCAGTTGAGTTACGGACTTAAAATGGGAATTACCGACCTTTATGGGTTCAAAAAATCAAAATTGAGTACTTTGATGAAGAATAATAATGTGAAATTGGTCATGTATTAAAGGGTTTTGGGCTTTGATTTACATGTAATTAAGGTTTGATTTTTGGAAATGAGAAGTCCCACAATTTCAGCCATTTTCGGACTGCTGCTGTCCAGGGCCGCACGTGCGGCACTGTTCACCCGCACGTGCGGAGGCAGCTCTGCCCAGCCAACTTTGAATAGGTATATCTTTTGCATCCGGACTCCGTTTTGAGTGAGCCTAAAATCAAGCCCCGGAAGTCTAGTTTCCAATGGCGCTAGTCTCACTCCCAAATTCTAAATACAGAAAAAGTTATACCCAAATTAGTGACGACTGTTCACGTTATGTCAATTAGTTATGTACCATTTCTTCACCTAAACCAATTCCTATCGATTTCTCCTGTTTTATAAGACATGGATTACAACATATGAAAGAATAATGAGCTTGGTACCACCATGACTAATTGATTGAACGATCAAAGAGAATAAGTAAAGGATCGAGTATAACCTTATATTATGTGTTGTACACTGTAATTGTAGGTCGAGACGAGGACATTGTACCATTACCACCGGGAACCGATCACTGTGAGTAGTAGTACAAAAATGTACATTTTTTCTACTATTGACAATCATTGTCACTAATGCTCTGTTCCTTGTAAGTATTATACGAACATTTATGACAATTGGAAAGCAATGTGAACTTATATGAACGCTGAAAGATTCGCGTACGTCGGCATGATTTTGGAATCCTTATGTTCTGTTAATGACGAATATTAGCCCTTTGTTATTTATTAGCATACTATGTTATTTCTTAAAGAATAAGTGGAACTTATGTTCATCCTTGAAGAATGATATTTATGTGAATCTAAGATTATGTTACGAAGGGACCCAAGAACGTTTAGAATCTATGATATGAAAGTAAAGGTTTACCATCAGTATGCAACCCACATAAGAATATGAATTATTCTATTTTGTTAAGTGCATGATAATGACATGATATAACAAGAAATGTTCTGGTTTCTATTAACTTAATGATTATTCATATATGTAGAAGTATTCACATCATCTTTAGCACAAGGCCCCTACCCAGGGGTAATAATACCGTGGTTCAAATAATTAAGTTACAAGTTTATGTATGTTCTAAGTTTAAGCCTGTTATAAGCTTACGTATGCTATAAGTCAAGAATGTTACAAACTCAAGAATGTTACAAGTTTATATATGTGACAAGTTCAAGTATGTACAAGTTTAAGTAAGGTTACAAGTACAAGTATATACAAGTTTAAATATGTTACAAGTTTTCAAGTTTAAGTATGTTATAAGTTCAAGTATGTTACAAGTAGACACATGTTACAAGTTCACGCATGTTATAAGTTCAAGTATATTACAAGTAGACGCATGTTACAAGTTCATGTATGTTATAAATTCAAGTATGTTACCAGTGTACGCATGTTACAAGCTTAAGTATGTTACAAGTTTAAGTTCAACTTGTAATAAAGCATGGAAGAAATTTATGTGCACCACCGTGTGACAGTATACTTAAGAATTTGGGATTATTTTGTACTATATATCCGTTTCGATTATCTGTTTCGACTATATTATGATATGACATGAATGGTTTGGTTTTAAAAACCTATTGATTTCGGATATGGAACAAAGTGCTGTACCGAACTAAGTGTTGCAGTGCGAGTCACCTCTAGAATCCGTACGAGACACCTCTTGAGTCCATATATATGTGAACCAGGCCTATGGTCGTTCTGTATCTCTTAGGCCTATGTCCATTCTGTATCTATTAGGCCTATGGCCAATTTGTATTTTCTGGTATGAAACAAAGTGCTACACGGAACTAAGTGCTACATTGTGAGTTACCTCTAGAGTCCGTGTGAGACACCTCTTGGGTTCATATATGCATGTCCAAAGGCTTCATGCCAACTTTTCAAGGGCTTCATGCCAACTTTACAAGGGCTTTATGCCATATGTTTCAAGGGCCTTAGTGCCATATGTTACAAGGGCTTTATGCCACATGCTTCAAGGGCCTTAGTGCCACAAGTTTCAAGGGCTTATAGCCACCATGTTTATGTTGCAAGATTGAACTTAAGGCCGTTATGTACGTAGCACAGAATCAGACTAACTATGTGAACTCTACATCTTTATATGCATTGCTATGTGTTATGTTTCATTTTAAGCATCGTTTAATTTATGTATTACTATTCACTGAGCTTGGCTCACTCTGTCTAATGTCTGTTTCTGTAGGTAACCAACCAAGTGGTCAGTCCTAGTCATGACACCTGTTTTCTTTTGTCAACCTTCGTGGGTTCAGGCACTGCACGAAGCCATTTATTTTTGTAAAGTCTATTGAAATGTTGGCTTAATTTTGATTACCCATTTAAAGTTAAAGAGGTATAACTTCAATGATTTTTATATAAGCCTAATGATGGGGCTGGGTCTGTACATATGGTTGTTTATCACCGATGCTACAACATATGGTTTGGAGCTTTATCTATTTTCCATGATGAATGTGATGTATAAGAGGTCCTGGCATGTAGATGTAGCTCAATGGAATTTATATGTATAGTTATTTTCCTACTTTATGCTTCCGATGAGGCCCCATATGTTATTTACTACAGGTTAAGTGTTCGTTTTCAAACGGGTCATGCCCAAACTTTTAGGGGCGGGTTTGGGGCGTGACATTACCAATGTACATACAAATAGAGCTAAATGAAATAGAATCAAAACAACAAATTTTAAAATCGAATTAGCTTCATGGCTTTTAATGACAGTATTGGTAAATTCTATATAATCGTGGTCATAGAATTGGGACCAATTAAATTCTAATAATTTGAATGGTATGAATCAACACAAGTATTGGTGTGTTCATGATAGCTATTAGCTGTTTGATTTACTCAATACTATAGATGCATTCAAATAAATGACCATTTGTTATCTAAAACTTACAAAGTTTCAAACTTCCTAAATTGCATAACTATCATTAATGTGTATAGATAAAATACTACATAATCATCATGAGTTTCTCTTCGACCTTGCTTATAACCTGATTGTAGAGTTCTGCTTTTCTCACATCTTAATATTTTCGTGAACTTTTGGTCGACTTTTGGCATGTTTTTTAATCCATATGCTTAGCATTAGCATATATATAGATACGTGGAATTTCAACTCATGGCCATGCTTAAACTACTGTTCTAACAACCTGTTTTGTTGTTGATACAAGTCCATTAGGCCTATTCAAAACATAGGAAATATATTACCCAACCTAGGGTTTAACGAATTATTGATAAGAAAAAAGAAAATCACATAAGAAGAAAAGTTTCAACTATTCCAACTGAAATCCAACCATCCTAAAATTCAAAGAAACATCCCAAAAATATTCCATACCATATACATTTTTTTTTTTTTTTGTGGATAAATTACCATACTATGCCTTCATTTGGCACAAGTTAAAATGGGTTTTTTTTTTTTTTGGCTAAAATGGCCACAAAAACGCAAAATAGGTTTTTAGTCCAATAAACCAAATTGTCATATTCAAACCATAATCATTTCATTTTTTTCTCTCACAAAAGTCAAAAAAGTCAAAAAAACCTATCATAAACGAAACTTTTTAGCCCCAAGCTAAAAAAGCCAAAAAGTCAAAAAATCAAAAAGTCAATCCACATCTCAAACGAACCTTATGTACAATACAATCTCACTTGTGCACACCCAAGAATCTCACGTTTTCTTTGAATAAAATATATCTTTCACTTTCTACACATTCCATTGTCGCATATAACAATGGTTCATGAGTTGAACTAAATATTCTACCAAATCACCAAAACAAGAAAAATTTCTAAACATTTAAAATACATCTATTTTTGAAAGAATACATTTAAGCCCATTATGGAAGAACATATATAAGCCGACTTTTAGAGTTAACACCAACTGGAGGAAAATATAACAAACAACCAGACATCCCTTTCCTACAGTGACTTTTTATTCATCAATTTGGTCAATTTTTCCTTTTTCTTTTTTTTCTTCATCTGCATCAATTTCCCACTTTCTCCCATGTGAGCTTGTACATATAGAGTTGGATTAACATACCAACCATGCAATGCAAGTGTGAATGTGTGTGTGTATGGTAATCAAGTTGGAGCGATTGTAGTTCCGTTATGAGTGGAAATTAAGGGGTTATAGAGAGATTCAACAATGGAATCCAACAGAGAGGCTTGTAGTTGTTGGAAATCAAGGGTTACAAGGAGAACCAACAGAGGAAGAGAAGAAAAAAGGGAGAGACCAAAGAGAAAGACTCTTCGAGGAAAGTTGGAAGGAGGAAAGGAGGGAAGGAAATAAGAGGATTAACCGGTTTCTATTTTTATCATTGAACAAGAGTGTTGCTATTAGCACCCTATCAATTATTTTGAACCCTCCATTTTTTAGCTTTTTTTGTTTTTTTTTTAATTACAATAATAACCTTAAATGAAATTACTAGAAAGGACATTAATAATTTTAGAATACCTCATCTCATAATTCAGCCCACACACCGACTTCATGTAACGCCCTCAAAAAAATACATAGAAACCCACATTATTGACATGCATTGATATAAGAAAACAAAACATCCTTCCATTCATCAGAGTAGTTAAGTACAAAAATATTACATGTTGACAACAAAAGTAAATTCCCTATGGGCTTACAACTTTCCAAGCCAACACTTGGTCACAAAAGAGAGTACTAACTCAAATACACTTTAAGCCCTTATCTTGAATTTACATGTAATATCCAAATAACAAAATAACAAAAAAAAAAAGAGTCTTCAACTCCAAAACCTTCCAACCTATGTCCTTGGAGGTAGCATATCATCTGAACCTAAAAATGATGTCCCATATAGGGTGAGCCACAGCCTAGTAGAGATATACTAAATCAAATAGAAGCAATGACTAAAATAATAGCATTTGATAGATGGTTAACACTTATAAACCAATTATATTACAATACAATTCCATAACAATTATGTCCATGTTACGTTCCACTTTCCTTTACTTATCCAAATCATTTCATATACATGGCTCAGAACCTGGCCAAACAATTCAATGAGACTATAACTCATATACCAACACTTCCATATTTCACGATAGATACACATATTTGATGCATCATTATCATATTAAGACACTTCCATACTTCACAAATGATACACAGATTTGCTGTATCAATACTTCAATTTAATACACATATTTGTTGTATTAATGGAGTCCATCCCCTATCTCCTCCCAAACAGGTTTGAGAGTCCATCCCCTATCTTCCCTCAAACCATGGAGTACATCCCCTATCTCGTCCCACACAATACACATATTCCAAGTATATAAACAATTATCATATACAAGAATAATTCAATACACATATTTGATGTATTATTCCAACTGTCATATTCAACGACATATTCAATGTGATTAGTTTCAATTTTCCCTAATCAACATACAGTGTCTACAACAATCAAGACTGTCCTCCACTGATAGCCCAAATCAGTTATTTCTGAACAGAAAATAAATGCATTAAACAAAAATAATATCAACATTTATGTAAGTGAGTGATAAATTAATCCAACTATACCATTCAATCCCATAACTTCCCGATTTCACAATTTCCAATTCAATTTCATATTTCCCCCAAATTAATTATACCAATTAATTTATCACATAACTAGGGCATTTTTCCCTAATCCACAATATCAACCCTAAGGTTCATTTTCATCAATAACACAACAAGAATTTTATTTCTCAATGTCTGACCTACATATGGGTTTTATTATTTGAAAATCCCTCTTTTATAAATTACACAACAACTCTCACTTTTCCCAAAATTACCGAACATCACAAACTAATCAAAATAGCCAAAATTTAAGACAAAACTCATAAGATGGAGTAGGGTATCCCTACCTCGAAATGAAGAGACCAAAGGAGAAGATGGTGAAAATCCAAAGTACTCCAAATCCACAAATTTTCAAATTAAAACGTAGCCCAAACAACCCTCTATCTTTCTTACAAAGAACTTAGGGTAGAAATACACTAAAAATAGATGAAACCCTAGAGAGAATGTGTATATATAGAGAGAGAGGACGGATCTAGGATTTTGAAAGCAAAAGAGGATAAAGAGTGAAGTGTTTCCCCGCTGCTGTCTACTGATGTAACACAGGCTCGCTCGAACGAAGGATTGATTGCTCAAGCGACCAGACACAAGGAACCCTCGCTCGAGCGTAGAAAGCCTTGCTCGAGCCAACAATTCGAAGCTTCGGGTCTGCAACCCAGAAAAGCACACTCGAGCGAAGAAAAGCTCGCTCGAGCGAAGAACTCCTAAACATAGTCCTCTCTCACTCGAGCGAAGGAAAGCTCGCTCGAGCCAAGGATTGCAACTCTCAGGTCCAGAACCGGATGCAGACGCAAGCTCGAGCAATGGACTTCTCGCTCGAGCCACTAGATACAAAACTCAACTCTCGCTCGAGCGAAGGATCTAAAACACAGAGCTTGCTCGAGCGACAAAAGGCTCGCTCGAGCGAAGGACCAAAATTCTGGGCAGCAACCATTTGCTCCCAATCACAACCAACCTATAACAATCCTAACCAAAACATCCTATAACTCAAATACAAAGTATTGAAGGACGGAAACAAGATATAAACCGCAACCGACATCCATAGAACCAAGTCCGGATACAACAACCAAATGAGGAAGAACTGGGATCGCTATAACCTCCCCCTCTTAAGGAATTTCGTCCCCGAAATTAAACACAGGTTTTCAAAAACATGTTTTCTTCAATTTTCAACAACATTACAATTCAAAATTCAGCAACTTGACCCATTACCGGTCATTCCATCTCTATTCAAGAAGCATTTCACAATATAACTTTCAACATGTATTACCAACATGTATTCCTTTCAAGTCCAACAATTTCCAATATACAAGGTTCCTAATTCCATATCATAGTCAATGTTCATGATATATTTCCATTTTATTTTTATTTTTTTTTTGCAATACATTCAACATATGCAACGTTAATGACATACTTGCATTTCTACAACATATTTAACATACACAATGTTAAAATAAACTTCCATTTCAAGGCAAGTTCCGTAATACTTCCATAAACCGAAACATATACAATGTTTTATAACTTAAGACATATTCAATACTCTTAAGGTTTATCAATACAAAAAAATATACAACGTATGCTCAATATATGTTTTAAACATTAATAAACAAGTCCGGATATTTCTCACGAACTTCCAATTCACATTCCCAAGTGGCTTCTTCCACTCCGTGATGTTTCCACAAAACTTTCACCAATGGGATGGTCTTGCCTCGCAAGACTTGATCCCGCCTATCCAAGACCCGTACCGATCTCTCCTCATACGAGGCATCCTCGTCAACCTCTAAGTCGGTCCAATCCAATACATGCGATGAATCCAGCTCATACTTCCGAAGCATGCTAACATGAAACACGTCATGAACTCTGGACAACTGCGGCGACAAAGCTAAATGGTTGGCAACCTCACCAATCCTCTCAAGGATCTCGAAAGGGCCAATAAATAGAGGGGAGAACTTCCTTCTCTTAC